TGTTTAAAAAAATCCCCTCTTCATTTAAATTTACAGGGCTGCCGCACTGAGCCGACAAGCAGCTGATCAGCTGTTTGTCGGCTCAGCGCGATAGCCTGGATGCGCGGGTGTCGACATCAAAGGTATTCGTCGACCACCCAGGTAAACCTCATCCCAGGAGATATACCTGGGTGGTCGACAAATACCTTTGATGTCGACACCCGCGCGTCCAGACTGATCAGCTGTTTGTCGGCTCAGCGCGGCAGCCATGTAAATTTAAATGAAGCGGCGATTATTTAAATCGCCGCTTCATTTTACTATGTCTGGTAGCCTAATCTACATGCCTCTGGCGACAAAGGCATGTAATCTAGACGTACCCTAAAGGAGAAGGTTCGAATCAAGAGACGCAACTCCAGCTATGTGAATTTACAGATCTGAAGTCGATGTACCTCAATTAAACTTTCCCTGCCAACCCGACAGAAGGAGGTAGATGGGAGCGAACACACCCCTTACTCCTTGTAGGAGCAGGAGCACCGGCTGCCAACTGGGGCATCTTCTGTGTTCGATTTAGTAAATCAGAAAGTCATAAAGCATGAGAAATAAAACCTGTATATGAAGAGTCAGCAGGAGTAAAAGGTTGTGATACCAAGCGATGGCGCGCTGTGCATCCCAGCCCAGGAAAGCATCAAGGAGAGGAGAAAGCAGATGTCCACAGAAAGACTGACCCAGAAATCAATGCATGATGAGAAAATATGTACAATCCCTCCATTAAATATAGTTTCATGGTTTTGAGTTATTGGTTGAGAATTACCCAAACTGTCATGTAGGACAAGAAGCAATGGGCTTAAACTGCAGCAAGGGAGGTTTAGGTTGGACATTAGGAAAAACTTCCTACCTGTCAGGGTGGTGAAACACTGGGATAAATTTTTAGGGAAGTTGTGGAATCTCCATCTCTGGAGATATTTAAGAACAGGTTGTATAGACATCTATCAGGGATGATCTGGTGCTTGGTGACCTGGACTTAATAACCTCTCAAAGGCCTTTCCTTTTTTAGTATTCTATTATTCTAATCTACCTAATAAATACAAAGTCATCCTCTGAGTTAGAAGTTCTTCTCACTCCTTAATTTTCTTTTTGAGTTTAGATGATAACTCCAGTCCCATCTCTACTGATATTGCCCAGGGACTATAGATATGATTAGCTTCCCGCCCGCCCCCACTGACTTATTTCAAGCACTTATCCAGCGAAGTGCCCAGGGAGATGCCTTCTTCTCATGTGAAGGATAAATATTGACTCAGAAGAGACACGGGCTTCTTAGTGCTGCATCAGGAAAACCATCAGGACCACAGCTGAGAGAATGAAGATGGTGATGGATGGTCAAGAGTGCAACCCGAATTCTGCTCTCCGAAACGCTGACTGAAGAGATTAGATCAGAGATTCACGTTCATGCTGGTCGGTCTTCAAGGTAAAGCAACCTTTTTCTCCCTCTTCTGCTTTGGAATGATAGAAACAGATTGGGAAATAACAATACCGATATTCCTAGATTCCAAGGCCAGAAGGGACCCTGGAGCGATGTATGAAATTCTGATTGATGCGATGATGCTGTAACAAAATAGCTGTCTATTGGAACGTGGCTACGTGGAAGGAATAGATTTGGGGAACATTGCTTACTACCACGAGGGATAGATCAAGCTACACCAAATAATGACCATACCTATCCACATTTTCCTGCCTCAGCTTTCTCTCCACTCCAAAGAGTTTTCCAGAGTACGAGACACAACTTGGATGTCTGGGATCCTTTGCTGGCCGCTTATGATTTCTCTACCTCAACCAGCCTTCTCTGACTTGGCTGGTCCGCAGCTGACTAGGACCCTCACTAGAAAAGTTCCTCTCTCGCTTTACCTCTTATACCCAAATCTTTGTCTTCCTGGCTTAGTGAGGCTACGTCTAGGCTACACGCCTCTTTCGAAAAAGAGCATCTAGACTACAATCAGTACTTTCAAAAAAGCAAGCCACTTTTTCGAAAGAGAGCACCCAGCCAGTCTAGATGCTCTCTTTTGAAAAAGCACAGTATGCGTTACATAGCGCCTTTTTTTGAAAGAGCACTTTCGAAAAAAGGTGTTCTTCCTCGTAAAACGAGGTTTTCCGTGGTCGAAAAAACTGTTCTTTCCGTTTACTTTCAAAAGAACAGCAGTCTAGATGCAGGTAAAGATTTTTTGAAAAAAGGCCCTAAAAGAAGTCTAGACACACCCTGAGTGCTTCAGTTTATATGGCCCCCTACCAACACCTGGTTCCTTTGTTCTGCTCCTGGTGTTTTTCCAAACCCTGCATCATTGACAATCTGGAGAAAGTTGTTTCTCCTACCACCAGCTCATTTCTTCCCCCTACCAATTAAGCTGCCACGAGATGAGAAGGAAGGTCACAGCCTTAGATCACGATGGGGTTACTGTGAATACAATTGTTATATTTGCGACCATATACACATCTCTCTGGAAAATCCAGTTACCTTTCCATTTCAGCTCAATAAATGTTTGACACACTCTTCGCGTAAAGAAACTTTTTTTTTCCATGGGGGGGGTGGCAGGAATTAAATTAGGAAGCTCTATGACTGCCTTCTCCATGAGTTAAGACAAGACGTCCATCCATGTGCAGAATAATTTTATGTGCATTGAGGCATGTACTAATGTGCACCACCATGAGCAACAAAACCTAGCGGTGGGCTCTCTGTTAATTATCTGGGTGGCATTTGAAGCTCTCCTGAGTGGCCACACCAGAGCATAGCTGACAGGGAACTCTGCTAGTAAGTAAAGAGCCAAGGGGGTTTTAGAACCTCGTACGAGCTCCGTCTATGCATGTGTTGGCTCTCGGTGCAAACCAGAGGGCCCACACCTCTAGAGGCGTTTTGGAGAATGCACAAGAGCTGTGCAGGAGTCTTGGGGAGATGACATGAGTTTCCAGGCCACTGAATTGGTGGTTCCCATAGGGAAGAAGGGGTGTCAGACACAAAGGCTACTTCCAGAGTCCCAAAGTCAGGACAGCCCCCATGTTCTGTGATTCAGGGGAAGCGCAGCTAGATCCCTGAGAATGTTGTTACCACAGTAATTGGGGCTATTCTACTCTGATCTATTGAGGTAAATGCTCCACCCCCATCACAAAAATCCATGAGCAGCCATGGATTTTTCCGCTCCTGGATTTAGTGTATGACAGAAGGGGAAGCAAATCGCCTGAACTTTTGTGTCAACACTCAGAGGACTGATTGTGAAAATCCTCACCAAGGGTTTTCTTCCTACCTTTTGATGCAAAAGGCCTTTTAAACTAAAATAGGACATTTTCTGAGAATGTCCAATATTCCGCTCCATTTGGTGGGGGTGTTTTTTCTCTTGAAGAACCCAAACTACAAGCCCTGAAAAAATGTGGACCCAAACAATAATTTTCTTTTTCATAATTTTTATTTTTCAGGAAAAGCAGAAAGCAAAGTGATTGCCAAACCACCTCTCAGTTGAGATGTTTGAGATCTTATTGGATCTCCTACCGGTGGTGCTTAGTTGGCAGAAGATGCATGATTTATTCCAAAATTCAGGACACCGGGCCAAGAAATCATAGAATAATCATAGACTCCTTGGGTTGGAAGAGACCTTAGGAGATCATGGAGTCTAGCCCCCTGCTCAAAAAAGGACCACCCCGAATGAAATCATCCCAGCCAGGGCTTTGTCAAGTCAGGACTTAAACACCTCTAGGGATGGAGATTTCACCATATTTCTCGGAAACCCATCCCAGTGCTTCACCTTCCTCCTAGTGAAATAGCTTTTCCTAATATCCAGCCAAGACCTGCCCCGTGGCAACTTGAGTTCTTTGCGCCTTGCTCTGCCATCCATCACCACTGAGAACAGCCTCTTTGGAACCCCCGTCGGGTAGTTAAAGGCTGCTATCGAATCCCCCCTCACTCTTCTCTTCGCCAAAGGTATATAGCAGTGACTCACAACTTTTGAGCATTTCTGGAATTTACATG